ATTTATGATAAATAATTTATATTATAACATAAAATTATTTTTATTTTTTGAATTTATTTTAAAAAATTAAAATTTAATTTATAAATAATTATGATAAATAAAAGTTAAATTAGATAAGAAATTAAAAAAATCTTTAAAAGTCCTATCGTCAAGAAAAATCCCTTAAAACACTCTCATATAAGATATATATTTGTATTTAATATATAATGGTTAATTATTAATTTGAATAAAAATAAGTTATCTATTTATATATCTATAAATCAATTCTCATTTTCTCTCACCTAAAAATCAATTAGTCATCAAATTTAATTAAATAAATTGTTTGTTAATATATAATAGATTTTATCTTAGTATATTATTTTTTACTGAATTTCAAATTAATTAATCATTAATATTAATTAAATTGATTGTCTCTTAATATATCAATTCTCACTTCATTTAAAATTAAGTCGTCGTTGTTTTTCTTTATCATAGTATTTAATATATAATAACATATAAAATAGCAACTCCTAGATTATATTAGATTATTAGATTATAATATTATTATTTAATAAATTTACTTTATAACAATATATATAAAGGCGATATAAAATTTTTGTGTATATATTTTTAAAATATTTTTATCTTTTATTTATTTTGGTAACCATATAACATCTTTATTTAGTGTAGGATAATTTAGTAATTTTTATTTATCCAAAATAAAATTTTTCTTTAATAAACTGCAACTTTCTTATAAATTTATAACTTTTACATACATAATATTCACATGGTACAGAGTACCTTTATTTTGCTAGTAAACAATAATGTTCATACAAATTGTGAATAAATAAATTATTTTATTTTTGAGATATTTTTATTTTATTTTTTTAATTTCTCCTCCTTTCCTTCTCTTTTCATGCAAAAGAAAATATTTTAATTTAATATTTTATTTTCTTCTATTTTGTCTTGTTTCAAATGATAGTTTATATATATATATATAGGAGGGTTATAATAACACTGATATAACTTTTATTAAGTATTACACCGCTTAATAACTTTATATTAAATGTGAGTTTTGTAAATCTAACTGCTAGATTGAAAGTTCTTTACTTTTAGATTATATAAACAAAATTTTATATTAATCTAAGATGATTTGATACTTCATTCTTATAAAACAAAATTGACGTAATATATACATTTCAAAATATACTAAAATATGAATACTTTGATTACCTTCAAGTTTTTGTTCAATTTTAACAAAATTTGATATACACATATAAAGTGATATGAATTTTTAATCTCACATTTAACGTAAAGTTATTGAGTGGTGTAATATTTAATAAAAGTTACATCGACACTATAAGTGTAACGACCCGGCTGGCCACTACACTTCCAACTACCGCACACCGGAAACACTAGACAGAATAGAACGAGTATATAATTATAGGGTCTAGAATATAAATATATACAATGTTCCAATCCAACTAGAGTTAGAGTGTACAAAAGAAGTTACAATCAAATGCTACTATCCCAAGTAGCTACACAGCAAAATAAACACAAAAGCGATCAGCTCTACTGGTCCGCCGAAGACTCATCATCAGATGCCCACCTATCCCTGCTCTGCTCCCATACATAGTATGATCATTGCAGTCCAACATCATGAAAACAACAAAAGAGTAAGCTAGTGTAATTAAAATCAACATACTAATATATATATAGCAATATAATAATCAACCGCTACAACTATCAACACTTCTATACAGCTTATACCCCTCAACAATATCAGCACCGCAATGCGGCAATATCAGCACTGCTTAGCAGCAACAACAACACCACTCAAGTGGCTATAACGGCACCGCGAAGCGGCCATAACAACACCGACTTAGCGGTCGTATCAGCACCACACATGTGGCTAATAACAGCACCGACTTAGCGGCTAAAGCATCACACAACTCAGCACGGCACAGCACAGCACAGCACAACATAACACAGCACAGCAATTCAACAAGCTTATTGTTTATTACAATTCAGCCCAACCTTCTATAGTTCCGTTAGACTATAAAATTTTGCATATTAAATCCATCGATTTCAGCTCAACAATACACCTCTAATACAACTAGATATTATTATCTCAGCTTTATCACCTAGTCATCATAGCATATTCATCAAATGCAACTTAGCTCAGCACATAACAACATTGATTAACAAGTTCAACACAATTCAACAGCCAACAACATATGTTTCAATATCCCCTTTCGCGCCCGGCGTGCTCGAGGTCGCACCCAGCGCGGCCCAACCTGAGAGCACCATGGGCCATCACGCCCAGTGCAAGAGTGCTCGCGCCCAGCGAGACTCAACCCGAGAGTACCAAGGCTCTCCCGCGCCTGGCGCAATTCCAAATTGCGCCCAACGCCTGCCTGGCAGAGACTCAAGGAGTCTCGTGCGCTCAGCGGGGCCTAACCCGCGCCCAGCGTGGGGAAGGCAGAGACTCGCGCCCGGCGCAATTCTCATTGCGCCCGACGTGCTGTTGGCAGAGACTCCCAAGGAGCCTCCGCGCCCAGCGAGTCCAAACGTGCGCCTAGCGCGGCACCAAGTATCCCAAAACATGTTACCCTTGATATCGCGCCCAGCGCAGCTCGAGTCACGCCCGGCACGAGACAACCAGAGACTCTCATTTGCAAGCTCGCCCAGCGCACACAGCCTTGCGCCCGGCGGCTTGCCTAAACTGAGTCTCCTGGTGGTCGCGCGCCCGACGCGAAGAACAGCGCCCAACGCGAATTCAACAACAACCATCCCCAAGTTCGAAATTTGTCCAAAATCCTGCAAAACATAACAGAAAACCAGCATGCAATCCAGCCAAAAGTTCTCATTCTCATCAAATATCAATAAAAACGCCTCATTTTCAACATGCATCCACAAATCAAGTTTTTCCCAAAATTTTTTCCAAGGACCCCATAAACCCGAAAAGCCCCTAATCATCCAATCCCAGCAGATTCTCAGCTCAAATGTAGCAAACACCATGCCACTAGGGTTCTATATCACGACATTTAACTTTTTAGCGTGTTTTTCCTGATGAGTAAGCTACCGAAATGTATATGTATGTTGTCA